GGCTCTGCAAAAAAAAACTTTAGCTTGCTCAATGGATCTGCGGCACGAAGAAGTTTGGTATACACTGCAATAAGCGAAATTACGAGCCCAGGTGAGACACTGCACCTGCTATCGTGGTGCTAAATGTTAGATCTTACACTCCCATATCACCATATAATTTGGAATTGCTAAAGAGCGCTGAACTTATTTGCTTGATATCAGTCTGGTATCTCCTGCATTGCGTATGATCAGGATTTGAGCCTCTGTTGCTTCTAGCCAGAGGCTTCTGGTCGCGAACATAAAGAACCCGTGGTCGGCAACTGAGATGCATCAATAACAATCGTATCACAATAATAAAATGAAGTCCAGAATAAACATAGGTTTCTACTCAAGAACTCTTATTATCTGTAGTCCTTCTTGAGGAAACATTCCTTGAAATCACTTTCAAACTTCTCCAACACCCGAATTATTTCCTGTATAATGCTAAACGCAAAGCCTACAAATCTACATAAAAATAGTAAAGTTCACAGAAAATAACAATCTCAACAACTCTGACAAAATTTGTGACATAATTCTATCAACATAATAAAGCTACCATCGGAAACAACTAATCCAGACTTAATTTAAAATTTATTAACACTACGTCTAAAACCGTAAGATATATACTCAGCAAACGGAGTAGCAACCACTGAGACAGGAATATATAAAGTAAATTGCACCCCATGACAGCACCTGCAAAACATGCAGAAATCTCAAAAACAAAAACAAAAATAAATTAAATAAAATAAAGACTGTATAAACATCGTAGAGGTCTATTATATAACATCACGTTAAACTAGGTAACTCCACGAGATCACTAAAAAATCAGTATACATGATGAAAACGTAATGAAAACATAGTTTTATCGTCAAAATCTTTAATAAGAGTAGGGGATCAAAGAATTTTTGATTATTTTATTAATTTTTTTACTCCTTATTAGAACATTCGAAATTTTGATTAAAAAACTTGTTTTCATGCCTCAGCGTTTGTACTAACTTTTAGCATAGCAAATCTTCACCTCCTTTTTGCGGTGATAGACATTAATTTAGAAATTCTTGCAAAAATCAAATAATTCTCGAATTTTAATGAAATTTTCAGGACTTATTCACAAACGAATGAAATTATTTCTGAATGTTTTTTAGAAACTCGCCGTAAAAATATTTTTTTTAATTTCTATGTGTTTCTCCTCGTTGAGCTTGAGAAATTCAACGTGATAATTTTTAGTGACTATATTCGTTAAGAGCAAAATTTTTGATGAATTTAAATCACCGATTTTTTTTTTTTTTTTTTTTTTATAAAATCGGATCCGATCTTATCGAAAATCTTTTCTGAATTGAAAAATAAAAAATCGCAATAAAACTGAAATATTATTTAATTAGAGACGCTTTTAGCTGATTTTATGAATAATATATACTAAAGACAATATCGTCTGAAGAAAAAAATTTCGATGATAAATGAATTTTTACAAGATTTGTTTTCTTTTTACAATTTTTTTTACAAGTTAAAATTGAATAATTTATAAAATTTTGAATCTTTTAAAGTTCAATTTCGATGAGATAATTTTAAGGAAATATTGCTATTAATCAAAACTATATTTACTAATCATATATTTTAAAGCTTATTACAATTTGAAGACCCCGACTATTTTTAAAAGAATTTCGATTTGTTTTTATATATGTATATAGATGCAGAATTTCTGAAGTATGGATGTACAGACCGATAAATCTATTCTTAAAAGGTCATGGATTTTAAAGATTGTCTCCCTTTCCGGAAAAAACTAATGAAATTTATCGTCTGCTACGCCATAATTAACTATGAACACCTTCAGCGGTCAATCCGTCGTCAATAAATCGATTAACACGCCAGAGAAACAAGACATCGTAGTTAATAAATGCTTGTATGCAATGTCTTATGCTATGAGCAAGTAATATTTGTTTCAAATCAGATTAACTTTAAATTTGCTAATTTTCCTCAATTAATGTTTCAGAAATATATATTTTACTTTTGCAAGATTTTTAAAACGGAAAATTAAGTTTTGTTTATAAATGTGAAAAATAGCTGACGTCATTGATTTTACTGAAATGGAAATGTAAGTCTATTCCAATCAATATTATTTCTGTCTAAAATACACTAAATTATTTTGCTTCCCGCGTATAGTAAATTTAATCCTTTAGCTAAATTAAAAGCTTTGGGAAAGCTTTTTCATTCTTAAAATACATTTGAAACTTTACGTATACCCAATTCTTGGAGGCACCTACGTTAAACGAACAAGTAATTAACTGTATCATATCTGAACACGATTTCGATCGCATTCACCTGTCTGATTAGAAGGAAAATAATAATTCAATGAGAGGAAAATTCATTGGAAGTGCACTGAGCTTACAACCGAAGACCAGATTCATATACGATATCATCAGTCACTGGAAAAGCAATAGTAGCACAGTGCTGTATACGAACTAATAGATAAAAAAAATCTACTCGGAGTGCACTAATTTCAAATCCTACAGATGTTAATGGTTTCAATACGGAAAGAAGAAAAGAGAACCTTCTGGTCGTAGCGTATAATAAAAATATTTATTACCTCTTCCTCAAAATCCCTTTTCTTACACACAGGTTAATCTTACATTCTCACCTGAAGATGCCTGCTAGAGACAGCTTTGTCACATGAATTCTCTCTCTCTCTCTCTCTCCCTCTCTCTCTATCTCTCTCTGTATATATATATATATATATATATATATATATATATATATAACACATAGAGAGAGAGACAGACAGACAGACAGAACTAATATAAGTAAAAGGTTTGTTACTTAGCTGATTGATGTTACCTTCACCATCCTGATTCCGGAGATTCGTAGATGGACCGTTCATCCACTCATCAAGGGATATCAGCAATATATATATATATATATATATATATATATATATATATATATATATATATATGTGTGTGTGTGTGTGTGTGTGTGTGTTTAAATTAGGATACAGAGATCCTGACAAAGTTTTAAAAGATTTGATAAATAGAAACGTTTCATCAAATCTATTTTTATGAAACATTTCCATTTGTCAATATATATATGTGTGTGTGTGTGCGTGTATGTGTGTGTGTGTGTGTGTATGTATGTATGTATGTATGTATGTATTTGTGACGACAAGGTTGTTGAAAATACGATCCACTTCCCAAAGTCTGATTAAATTACAACATTTCAGAATTTTTTTAACTTCCTTCTTGGTTGGGTGAAAATTTTCATCATCACCTCTGTGGAAAGTAAAGAAAGAAATGGTTTATGATTTTAATAATCGTGCAAACCTGATACTTCGACGTGTTGTAATTGTTAGTAATCTTGTCTCTCGAGGTCAATGACGACTGTGTCGTGAGTTCGATACTCACTGAGTGTTCCATACTTGCGGCTTTGTGTCATATGGAAACTATGCTTTGTAAATCACACGTAAATAATCGCATTTTAATCATTTGTACCAGCAGTGAAATAATGGTTTGCTAAAAAAAATAGTCCCCAGTTCACAAACGAAAGTTTATAAAACAACTGATGCGCTGTCGTTCGTCGAAAAATGTCCTGAAATAAAAATGATGTTGCAAACATTATATTTTATTTGTTTTCTTCATTTTGACGGTTAACAAATGGCGAGAAGTATTTAAAATGAAAATTGCATTAGAGATTTAAAAGTAGAATTCATCCTGAAGACACAGAAAATATAAAAAGTAATGAGTTTATATAAATTACACCAGCCAAGCCGAAACGAAAAATAATTTTATAAACGGTGGGTAAAATGCTGGAATTAAAAGTTCAGTTTGATAACAGAGGCTCATTCATTTGTTATGTTGTAACTTACATCCCTTAGTGTCGCATGTAATGCAGCAGGGGAGCTACATTCCTAAGTATCTGATTGAGGGTAGGAGCTGATCACCAGGTGGAAAATTGATTTCAAAGAAGGTTCCAAACTGTTCTAAAATGTTACATAAAACAAATAGAACATGGAAAAGAGTTGTTATAAGGAAAAAGGAACAATTTTGAAAGCTGTTTTTCTCTACTCTCAACAGTATTTTATGCATACGTTTCTATATTTTTTCAATTCCTTCTACATTTTTCTATTCCTTTCTATATTTTCTGTTCTTTTGTATGGATCGATCTTCCCAGCAGCTATGGATTAAATAATAAAAATGAAAACATCATTGGCATACCCCACAAAAAAAGTATTAATGAAATATTCACTCACAAAACAAGAATTCTTCGTAGAATTTATGTTTCAACTTTACATAAACTGAAAGGCTTGATAAGCAGTAAAAGCAATCGATCGTTATTTTCTATATTTCCTCGATACCCTTCTGTATTTTCTCTAGTCCTTTCTATATTTTCTTTCATCTTTCTATGTTTTTTATACTCTTTCTCTATTTCTATAATTTCTCTATTTTCTATATTCCTTTTTGGATTATTTTTATTCCTATCTACATTTTCTATATTCCTTTCTATATTTTTCTATTCCTTTCTATATTTTCTCTACTCCGTTCTATATTTCTTCTATACTTTCTATATTTTTTCCATTCTTTTTTGTATTTTTCTTCCTTTCTATATTTTCTCTACTCTTTCTATATTTCTCTTTACTCCTTTCTATATTTTTCTTTACTCCTTTCTATATTTTTCTTTACTCCTTTCTATATTTTCTCTCGTCTTATTATAATTTATCTATTCCTTTCTATGTTTTCTCCTCTTTTCTATATTTTTCTTCCTTTCTATATTTTCTCTACTGCTTTCTATATTATCTTTACTCTTTCTATATTTTCTTTAATCCTTTGTATATTTTCTCTTTTACTTTCTATATTTTCTCAACTCCTTTCTATATTTTGTGTACTCCTTTCTATATGTTCTACATTCTTTCTATATTTTCTTCACGCTCCTCTATATTTATCCCAATTCTTTTTCTATATTATTACTTTTATAATATCTATCTCTTGTCTGCTCCCGTATTTTCTTTTTTTTTTTTTTTATATTTTGTCTATTTTTGTATTCTGTCCATCCTTTCGTACATTTTCTCCATTGTTTGTTATTTTTCCTCTACATTTTCTATAACTCTACCCTTTTCAATACGTTGTCTATTCTGTTTTGTATTTTCTCTTTTCTTTTTCTATATTTTCTCTTTTCACTATTTCTTCAACACTTTTCTTTAACTTTTCAATGTCCTTTGTTTGTTATTTTAAAGCCATAATTGAAATCTGAAGCCATGTGAAGAGTAATTCAATAAAATCTAATATTTGCTGCGCAGAATTTACGAAATAATGAATGCGTATTGGATGGAGTGATTGAAGACTGTGAGCGTTATCAAAAAGTATCCAACTGTAATGACGTATTTAATGGCAATGTATTAAATGAATACGAATTTAATGTGAGTCAATACTTGAGTAGAATTGTACGTTAGCAGTAATGACTAGGGTTTTAATTATGAAATAAATCAAATTATTCTGACAGATCAACACTTGTATTATATAATTTATTTAAACTACCTTTTCACCAGCAGCCAAACAGATATATCCCTTGAGAAAGCATCACCTTCACCGACTGTTTTGCTCGAGGCTATATAAAAGACATTATAATGCGTTCACCGAAACGTATACATCACGGTTTATAGAAATTGTGAATGGGGGTAGTAGTAAGAGTAAAAAAAAAAGCAAGCAGACTAGTATATGGTTTTTAATATGTAGTAAACTATTGATACTTCTTCTTTTATGCTTTGTGTCCCTTAGGTGATCCATACTGTCCTTTTGTGACCCTAATATCGTTTTTATAAACCGTCATTATAAAACCACTCTGCCATCCCTTTGCAGAAACTCGTTCGTTAAAGTTAATCAGTATTTGCATCTGTCCATCTTGTCTTCAATATATCCTGTGAGTGTCGAATTCTTCAAGCCCTCTTTTCTGCATTACGTTTCCCAGCATTTTCAGCTGTTTCTTTCTGGTTCTAAGTACAAATGTTCTTTTTGTTCACATTTTAATTAAAACTTCCTCATTACTCATATATTTTGCCCTTGGTAATGTCAGCGTTCTTCTCTAGGATCATATCGCTGTTGTCTCAGATTTTCTCTTTATCTCTGAGGAAATTGTCCAGCATTCATTGCCATGTAGGAGGATTGATGTTATATAGCACTTAAGCATTTTGTAAATAAAGATGCGCGCATGCGCCTGTGTATGCTTTTCCTATAAACATCTTTGTACTTCTTATTAGTATATTCTTGAGAAAACGAAATTTAACGAGGATTCCCATCGTCAGCATTCCTTGTCTTCTCTTCACTGTATGTATCTTCGACTCATTTTTTTTATGCGCAGTATCCTAACGTGTATAATCATTTGTAATTCGAGGCAACTTCTGATTCTTTATGTTCGTATTTTGCTTAAAACTCCTTGTCCGCACTCTTCCATCCATACAGACTCTTTCGCTTGTTACTCGCTGTTTACCTATTCCTCTTCTGATTTCAATATGTCTCGTGAGTATTAAATTCTCCGAGCTTTCTTTTCTCGTTATGTATCCCAGAAATTTCAATGAAATCTGGAAGAAAAAGAATACTTATAAAGACTTTAAGCGTTCTTATAGTTATAAAGACTATAAGCGTTCTTTTTCTTACACATTTCTTCATTGCTCACATCATCTGTTCATGGTATTCCCAGCATCTTTCTGTAGAACCACATTTCTGTTGTTTCAAGTCTCCTCTTCATCGATAAGAAAATTGTCCTGCATTCACTGACATATAGAAGGATTGATATTACAGAGCACTTCGGCAGCATTCATTTTTTTTTTTCGGCCGTATCTTTACTTACTGAAGTTAATATTTTTTGACCATAGCATTTCTTTCAAATTGTCAGTTATATTACCTTGGCATATTTTCAAGTTTCTAAATTCTGATTTTTTCTTTCTCTCGCTTATCATTTCTTTGAAATATTGTTGTTTTTTTCATACATTTTTCTTATTTTCTGATCAATTTAATTACTTTCCTTTGAATTTGCTATTTTTCGTATTTGATATTTCTCAGCAATATGTTTTTATTGCCTATTTTACTTTATTAAGAGTTTATACACACACATATACATACACCCCACATGCACACACACACACACACACATATATATATATATATATATATATATATATATATATATATATATATATATATATCCGAGTACATACATCTTCTAGCCAGCTCCTGTTGCGGACGCCTGCTCAGGTAAATATGGTTTATGCATCAAATATGCCCACCGGACAGTTACCATTGTTGGGAGAGAGTTCCTGTTCTGTTGTGCCCAGCAGTCTGAACAAGGCCAGTACGCTCAAACACTCAGTCACGATGACTTGTGACATCGTGCTAGCACAATGATCGACGGCTTTAAACATTTCCGTCTACACTGTGGTACGATTTCCATACACTTTCCTATAATGACACACGGGCGGCTGGGGATTTGTTTCCATGAAGGAGTTACCTCCCATACAAATTGAACTTCCGCTTTCCAACCATACGAATGCGGCTCGGGTCTCATGTTCAGAAAGCGAAAGTTCTAACCACTCGGCCACGTACTCATATTACACACACACACACACACACACACACACACACACAACACACATCCCGTATATAAACGAAATGCACACATACACAAACAACCTGTTTTATAATAAGTATAACTCTATAATAATTGAGTTGTCCCCTTCATTCTTGTGATGCATTTTAATTGTGTTTTCAAATTGATTTCGTGCAAAAACAATTGTTATTTTTCCAATTTTGGTGCTGTCAGAACCACCGCAAGGTAATTTTACATAGTCCTGTGGAGTTTTTTTTGAAATCGGTTGAAAAATATATAAATATATATCCAATATATAAACGTACAGACACACACACACACACACACACACACACACACACAACCTGAGTTTTGATAAAGATTATTGTATGATATATATATATATATATATATATATATATATATATATATATATATATATATATCGTACAATTCAAATTTTTTAAAACATTCCCTTGTAAAGAATTAGCATGTAATGTACTTGACAGAAGAGTGATACCTTTCCATCTCAAAAAGAGAAAAAAAGCTCTTAGAGTCATTGAAAAAAGAATGGAATCAGTTTTCAAACTTATATTTGAGAAAATTTTGCAACAAATGCCAAAAATTTGTGCTACAGCAATCAGGCTAAAGGAGAATATTTTGACGAGAGCAAAATTTTATCATAAAATGATTTTTCCTATTTTTCATAAAAAAATTTCTAATACAATATGATATCTCAGTTTTTTTTAATCATGTATAATAATTTTCTTTTTTTTTTAAGTATTAAACAACTATGTTTTGACCCAATTTTAAAAAAATTACCAAAAATTTGGTGGTCTCAAACTTTTGAACTTTTAATATATATATATATATATATATATATATATATATATATATATATATATATCTATATGTGATTTTTTTTAAATAGAATTTTTTTTGACTTAGCTGATTGATGTTATATATATATATATATATATATATATATATATATATATATATATATATATATATATATCTGCTTCCGTCAGGCTTTAGGAACGATGGAGTTGACCTATGGTAAGCTCATCTCCTCCTTTTCAGGTCTGTGAAATGATTTAATAGAAAAAGTAAGTCACACATGCTACACATAGTTCCAGTGTTCTAGATGTTGCTAGGACTTTACGGAATACATGAAGTCCGATTTCAGATCTTTCGTTCGGTTTCGAATTCAGAATTGTCTTTCTCCTAGGCTGGTTTACTAACCAAGCCTAGTGTGCCCAACACCCTGTGCTATTTAGCCCATAGCTGAAAGGAGAAGGAATTAATTGATAGATTTTCACGAATGATAAAGCAACGGCCTCATTCAGAATATGAATGTGTCTTATCGATCCCACATACTGTGCTGATAACTTCTATACTATGCTGACGAAGGATTACCAATAGACACAGAGAGTGCGGACATAGGAATCAACACTTCATGTGATACTCAGTTTCAAACTTCAGTGCGATCCTCAAACTAAGGCACTATATCTATAATTTATTTACATTATTTATCTCCCGCAGGGGACAATTGTCTAGTGGATTAACACGTTGTTTTGGGAATTTGGTGATATTGTAATTGCAAGTTCAATCCCCGAGTCGGACAATGTCTACTCAGGGGAACGAGCGAGAAATAACTGAACACTATTAAATAAAAAAGAAACCCCTAGACACGAGCACAAAATAAAGGATTCAATAAGTGATCCAGATCGATATACACTTAGAAAGGCCGGATGACACAACGGCCGAAACGGGATAACAACAAAAACGATGTCAATAGTCCGAATATAAAGAGTCCAAATAATGATAACTCCTAAATCCAGAAAGTCAGACAATATATATCGTCGATGTTGAACGCTCTTCAATCAGTCAGTTATGTTCCATGCGTGATACACGCTTAGGCGATCATCTATCTTTCAATACATGACTGACGAGCAATTTTTTTTCCTGTAGTAGGTTGTCATTTCTTTCTATGGTAGACCAGTTTCCATCCAAGGCTATAGAACCCTGTCTGCTATTTATCCATAGCTGGTGGAGAGGAGGAAGAAGATGATTCATACCTTTCCCAAGGGTATTAGAACGTAAGTGAATCTAATGGATTCGACTGGAATTCGAACTCGGCTCTCCGATTCCTCAATCCCAACCGCTATCCATTACTCCACAAATAGAGCAAATTTATAGACACGCACATAACTAAAGTATGAATGGACTTATTTTTCATCCGATATCTTTATTACTTCAAACCTTATTTTAGTGGGATACCCGGATCTGAAATAGACGTTTTTTACTTTTTAAACAATATGTTTTAAATTCATGGCCTGCGTCTACTTCTGTAAGTAATAAACACACACACACACACACACACACACACACACACACATATATATATATATATATA